GGGACAGTGCCAAGACGCAGCGGACACCCCAGCTGGCCCACCTCGGTCAGGACGGAAAGAAAGCACCTGAGTGGATCTAAAACACTTAGGAAATTTTTGAATAAATCCCAAATGTTACGACAGCGAAGAAACACCGGACAGGTCGACAAGGCCACCAGACCGAATGGACTACCTCACGGACGTAGCAAACACTCGCAGTGACCTAAGTTGTAACTTGACACTTAGACACATTTCAAAATTGAAATAGCAAAAGGGAATAAACATACAAGACATTCACAGCCGAGCAGGACAGCAAAACGTTCATTCATAAACAGTTAAGTACATTGGTGGGCGCTTCGGCCATTACATCACATGGGCCGAGATATAAGATAACTAATTACAAGATAGGAAACGGGGAGTAGCCGATCAAGTCTCTTGGGCGCCTCCATCATGCCCAGCCTGGGTTTGATCTCCGGCATCTTCGGTTCCCTCCTCGGCCTCAGTCTCCTGGTCGGCGGCAGCTGCAGAACTGGTGGCATCATCCAAGAAGTCAAACTCGTCATAGTCCGGCTCGCCGAGGCCAGAACTCTCGATTGGGGCCTCCCTCTCCGAAAGAGGAAGCTTGGCCTGCTCCTCGGGATCCTTCATCAGCTTGGGAAGCTTCAGGTTCCGCCTCGCCCACCCGGAGGTATAGTTCATTGCTTTGAGGGCACGCACCAGCCGCCGGCACAGGAGCCTCTGCATCCGTTCCTGGCCCATGTTGTAGTACACGGCCATCTCCCTTCCAAAGTACTCTTGGCCGGCGGGGGAGTTCATTCCCCAATCTTCGAGCTTGGCGGCCACCACTTCATAGCACCAGGGGAGCCGCTCGTCGGCCTTCCATCCCTCGGCCAGGAACTTTTGAACGGCCTCATCAGCGGCCTTCACAGCGGCAGCCTCGGCCTCAATTTTGGCCTTCACGGCTTCATCATTCTTGCGCCGCTCAGCCTCAAGTGCCCTCTGGCTCTCCTCAAGTTTGGCCAGGGCATCGTCCCTGGCTGCAGCTGCCTCATCGGCCCTCTTCTGCAGAGCCTTGGCATCCTCTCGGAGCCGATCCAAGCAGGCCACCGCCTCATCGGCCGAGGCAGCCTTTTGCTCGAGCTCTTTCAGACGAGCAATCTCCCGTTGCTGCCTTTTGTGGCTCTCCATGAGCATGAAGGCACCCTGCACAACAAAGGCAAACAAAGACTCAGACAATGACTTCACCCGGACGACGAGAAAAACAACAAATAAAAGGAAAGGGAACTTACTTGGACGATGAGGTCCATCCCGCCTTCGTACACCTTGACGTCCCCGAGCCTCTTGAGGTAGGCCCGATCTTTGGCCGGCATGGCCTGAGCAAGCACATCATGGCCGAGGATGCCATCGTCAAAGACACCCCCGCCAACGGGGTACTCCACCATTTTCTGGTAGGTGGCAGCGGCAATCTCCTTGCCGGTCCGCTTCGTCCGAGGCGCCTGGACGAGAGGGAGCGATTGGGCAGCGTCGCTTGGAGCAGCGGTAAGATCCACAACGGGACCACCATCGTCCACATTTGGGACGGTCAGAGTGCCGACCTCTTCGGCATGGGAAGGAGACGGCGCCCTCTTCGTCTTCTTAGCGAGATTCAGGCCAGCCTCGGTCAGCTTCTTCTGGTCGACAGTGGGAGGCCTCTTCTTCTTGGACTGGGTAGGCTTCGGGCCACACCAGCAGTAGCCCCGCCCTTCTCAGCCGCGGCACGCCTCGCCGCCTCGGCCGCCTTCGCAGCCAGCTCCTCGGCCGCCTTGGCCTTGGCTATGGCCATGATTGAACGGCGATCCATAACAAAGCCTACACAAAGGAAAATGAACAGATTAGCAAGGCAAAAGAACAAAAAACAAAGGAAGAAAGCCGGAGAAAGTATTACCATCGGCCTCAGCAGGAATGCCCAAATCCGGGCCGTCGGCCTCTTCGAAGGTAGTGTTCATCCTCGGCCAAAGTTGGACATCGTCCTCCTTGTCACCATACACATAATACCTAAAGAAGCCGAGGGCGGTCATCTTATACTCGGTGATGTAGTCTTTTACGCTCCTCGGCCCCCCTTCCAAGAATGCCTCCACCTGAGCGTCCAAGATCGAACTCCTCGGCGGGTCGTGCAGATTGAACCTCCCAGTGTGACCGAGAGAGGGAAATTCAGTGCCGTTCTCACCAAGGGACACAAAAACGAACTTGCTCTTCCATCCATGGATGGACGAAGGCAAGTCCGTGAAGCTCCTCTTCTTCGGCAACTGTTGAAGAGTAGCATAGGCCGCACAGTTCTTGTGGCTTCCTCGGCCAATCTGATAAAGATTCATGAACAGAGCTGTCGTCGGCCTGTAGCCCAACTCCTCACAGCGGAGCAAGAACCCCACCATCAACGAGTAGCTGTTCGGGGTCAGCAAGGCCGGAGGGAGTCCCACCATATCTAGATATTCAGTGATGAAGGGATGAAGGGGAAACCTCAGCCCCTTGGCGAAACTCATCGGGTATACTCCGAAGTACCCCGGTGGCGGATGGAGTACATGGTCCGTCGGCCCGGGTGCCCTAACCCTCCCGAACGGCCCCACGTACATCTGGGCAACTAAGTAATCAGCCGCGCTGCTCTCCGGCTTGATCAGGTAAATATTTGTGAGATCCAGGTAGGAGACGCCTGGCCCACTCTTCGGCATCCTTACCCTCTTCGGCTTCTCAGTTCCCTTCACGGCAGACACTGGCCTCGGGCACGGAATAACAGCGGAAGTGGACGCCCCGTCCACCACTCGGGACGCACCTGCGTCCTCATCTTTTGAAGACGAGGCAGACTCCTCGTCCTCACCTTCGTCGTCCACCGGCTCTTCGGACTTGTAAGGACTTAAACGCTCTATCTCTTCCTCGAACTCCTCAAGCACCTCATAGTCGAGGGACCTAGTGGAGGGCTGGTCGTCGTACGGATAGTACTCCTCGTCTATGCTCTTCATCATAACAACTATTACGAGCCTAAGGGGAATTACTTCGGATCTAAGGCGTTTTGTCCACTAACACTAGATCAAGGCTCAGGGAAGCTAAGTATGCAAAGGAATTGAAGAACAAGTCAAGAACTAACCTTGAAGGTATGAAGAACTCGAAGAACACCTTGAAGACTCTCTCTCTCTCTCTAGAAATTTGGGCAGCACTTCGATATCTCAAGAATGCAAGTGAGGAACCGCTTCGGAGGAGGAGGGGGGGGGGTATTTATAGACACTCTCCAACGGTCACTACACGTGGCACCATATCAATGGCCACCTCAGCGGTCACCTCCCCAGCAGCCGATGAGGTGCCACCCCTTCAGAAATGGACCGGGCTCGTGAACTAACCTACCGGCGGAGTAAAAGCCTACGGATCACACGGACAACGAGCGCCCACAACGGCCTACATGCTTGCCGGCTTCACAAGTGCCAGCAAGCGCCCACAACGACCTACATGCTTGCCGGCTTCACAAGTGCCAGCAAGCGCCCACAACGGCCTATACGCTTGCCAAGTTCACAACTGCCAACAAAAAAGAGATGACAACGGCCAGGAACGTCATGATCGCATGTGACGGCCACAGAACCAGAGGAACAAAGAACCCGCAGCCATCGGCTCTTCGTAACGACCCTTGATGATAACTCTTTACAAGCGATCTGCGCACAAGGGTTCTCCCACAGGGTTACCTTGGCCAGAAAATCGCCATGAGGGTTGGATTCGGGGGCACTACGGAGAGGCCGCTTCGGCCAGGGACCTAAGCAACTCCTTCACCCCTCACACCCTTCGGCCTGAAGCAGTGGGGGACTGGGGGACTACATCGGCCTCAACAATACAGACAAAGGAAAAACGCAAACACAAATATAACCACAAAGCATGGCCACATCGTCCATGTATAACAACGGCGCCAAGGTTTTCGTAACTCCATCTCCGGCCAGACAATTGGGACAGCACGGCGCCTCGTCGGCCAAAGGCACATAACATCATCAGCAACGGCCAACAGGCCACCTGAGGCAAGGACATTCATCGTCCCCTGCCAAAAGTTAATCACAATGGGCTCTTCGGCCAAGAACACGAAGCCAATCAACGACGGCCAAAAGGAGTGCGCAAGCACCCTCATCGGCCACCCAAAGGAAAGGACGCCATCGTCCCCGAAGCAAGGTTCAACCTCAACGGCCTCATCGGCCCAAATGTAAATCTCAACCATCAACGTCCAAGGGAAGACGTGCCTTCAACGGCCACAATCGAAGCAGGACACTCATCGTCCCCAAACGGACACACCAAGGAAACAACGACCTCCCGTCCACAGCGAGGAGCAGGTATCGGCCAAAAGCACCAAAACACGGGAATCTACTCTCCTTCACTTCGTCTACGCCTCAGCTTAGAGAGTGGGGGACTCCTGATGGAGTATATGGGTCTGAGCCCTAGGACCCACATACTCAGAAGAACAGAAAGCACGAGACACTGAGTGGTGCCCTTGTCGGCCATGGGACCCCCGTCGGCCGAAAAGGTACCAACTCAGAATATGGTCCTGAAGCCAAGGAACCCGGGTGCCCTCGTCGGCCGGGCCCTCGTCGGTCGTGCCCTCGTCGGCCACGCCCCCGTCGGCCACGCCCCCGTCGACCACGAAGACCTCACAGAACAGGGTTTTACACTTACTCATTTGTACAGCCCATTAGTGGCTTTGTATTCGGCCCAATAGCGGTCCAGTTGTAAATGGGCCTCCCAAGCCCAAGGCTTGGGAACCCAGCCCGTATTTTCTCTATAAATACTCCCCTTGGGAGTAGTTATATGAGTTACAAATTCATTCTATTGAAGTATATCATTGCACTTCTCTCTCTAGCTCTCACTTCTCTCTAGATATAGTCTATGAATGTACTTATAATTAAAATGTGATCTTTAAGTTCTCTACTCAACTCGTTTGTCTCTATCTAATATAGGTAGCCCGATTAACACATTGAATTAAAGTAAAAAATATGCAAAGACTCTCCCATGTCATGCCCATATGGTGCTAGGAAAGCCTATAATCACGTCTCTCCAAACAAAAGGGTAACATTAACTCTCCCTAACACCTTCTGATAATCTCTCTCTCCCTCTAGAACTACAAACATCTCTCTATCTACCTCTAGAGTTTTTTTTCTAGGATTTTCAATTTCGTTGAACTCCGACCGGTAAATCCACTCACCTGCTTCGATTACAGATCGTTAACCTTAACGCCGGCGTAGGTTAGATTTCCCGGCAACACTGAAATTCGTCAAAACCCCACGCTGAACGACAACGTTTGGCTCTCACCCCCGCCCCGCCGCCGGCCGATCCTGTTGCCGGAACGTTAGTTTTTGAAGTGCGCGCGGTTATAGTTTATAAACCTGTGCACTACTGAACCTCTGTCTGACCTGATGATTTAGATTTGTGCCTTTCTTCTTCCATATACACGGAGGTGAGGCTTTTAACAATTTGTTTGCCTCATCCGGCTCCCTGTTTGTCTAGTTTGGTTCATATCAGTGCGGCTTCCAACCATGATTGCGTTCTCAAACCACAATCACGGTTTTTCGTTCTAAATGGCAAGTTTCTACGTGATTAAGGGCTCATTAAATGGATTTGTGAAGTTATTCACGTGATTTTGCTAGATGCTGAGTGTGGGATAACCGATCCATTGATACCACTTTAGAATCTATTTTTTTCCAGCATTTTTGTTGTGCCCGGCTTGTTTCAACACGGATTCAATTCAATTTGATTAATCTTCGTGTTTTAATTCATGTCTGGACGAATAGAGGTTTATGAGGTGCTCTGTTTCCATAACAGTCATTCGAAAATTGAACCATATGAATATGATTCTTCCTCTATCCATTCCAAATCCAGATTGTTTTTCTGTGCATGAAACGAACATTCTGGCTATAATGTTTTTCAGTTGTTTACTGTATTGGGGTGTTTAGCTGCTCAGAAATGCTAATTCACGTTTACATTTGATTTTTTTTTTTACTTCAGCGGTTTTGGAGGGAAGATAAAGGCATAAAAAGTTAGTCCTACTTACCATTCAAAGCACTTGCCTCACTTGGTGACCGGAGAGACACTGAAGCTTCTATGTAATTTTTGATATGGCCTTCCACAGAAATTTTTCTAATGAAACAGTTGAATTTGAGGAGAGTATACAGGGACAAGAGCTCAGAGATCATGGAATTGCCCGAAATGAGGAGGGGGAGGGTACTTCAAGCGACAATGATAATACCAGTAGGTTGCAAGATTGTGTTTCTGAAGATGTACAAAGGATAGGAGCTGGACAACCATCTACAAGAAAGGTAGATGTAGCTGGACAGTGGGGCTCGAGCTATTGGAAGGATTCTCAACATATGCAAAGCAGTGGCAAGCCCGAGTCAAGAGATGAGTCAAAAAGCGGTTCAGATTACAAAAATGAAGATGAATCTGAAGATGAGTCATTTGATGGTATGGAAGATAAATTGGATTTGGAAGACTATAGTCAACAGAATGATACAGGGAAGGATACAAGTGTTCCTGCTGATGATATGTTGTCGGATGAGTACTATGAACAGGACGGTCATGATCAGAGTGACCCATTACATCACCGTGGGACAAATAATTCCAGTAGAAATACCACCAAGCATCCTGCTAGGCCCACTGCTAACAGCAATTTTACATCAAGAAAGCAAAAAGATAAAAAATCTAGCAAGTATGACGATGATGCTGATTATGGCGAGGAGGAAGATGAGGAAGATGGTAATCACAAGCTTCCCATACTGTCAGAGTCTTTATTTCAGCTCCACTATTCTCTTTACCCAACTGTTTGGTTGCCATTTCAATGATGTGGGTTCAGAGTTCAGCATTTTTGCAGTGCTTTTAACACAATTTTTATTTTTTGTTGCCTACAGTAGATGATCCTGATGATGTGGATTTTGATCCTGACTATGGAACTACGAGGGATCACAAAGGAACAAAGGTGTTTTTATATTATATACGAGTTAATGCAATCATAAATCATGCCCACTTCAGTTATTGGTGCTGATAGAAATTGCAATCTCGCTTGCACAGTTTGGCATTAGTGTATACTGTATAGTATTTATCACTAACTTAAGGATCAAATGCGCTCTTCCATTTATCACTGCATACTTATTCCACTTATACAGCCACTTGAGGCATCTTTCGAAAGTTCACATGTGAAAAGTCAAACTTGATGAAATCTATTTTTGCTGAAACAATTTTTATTGGAGATACAGGAAAAATGGATTGTCATGGTATGACTTGAAGTTCCTTTTTAGCTCCTTAAATAAAAATGGGCTTGGGATGTACATAATCTGTCTGTTCCACTTGTATTGTTGTGGGGTTGTAATCATATAGTAAAGCATTAGAGATGTGGCCTCAAAACATTCATCGGACAAGGAAATGATGAATATTTGCCGGGTCAAATGTAAAACCATCCTCAACCCAACGCCATCAATATACCCATGCATTCACTTGGTCAATACGAAAAATGTATATCATTCACTCCGTCAATCTGAAAAATGTATATCTTCCCTTAGGTTCACTTCATCAAATTTATTTGTTGTGCAACCCATTCAGAGTCCATATATTCACTCCGTCAATACTTTTTGGTATATGGTAAATAAAAACTTAACCATGCTATTATAATAATTATTTTTTTATAAATAATTATAATTTCAACATATAATTATAATTTTAAAAACCTCACTTTTTGATGTAAATAATTTAAATTGGGGTTTATTCTCTTTTATTGATTATTTAAATAATTTATTTTAGATATTTCGCTAATATTAACTCTAACTATTAGGATATAAAAAGTTGTACTTTATTGCATACATTTATATTTTAAAGAAATCCAAACATTCAGACAAAAAGATTAAATTTGGATTTTATTTAAGCCTATTAATCCTATTCTCATAAATATTCCAAAAAATTATGCCCTTGCAATTACCATGCATGTGCCTGCACACCACATAAAGTGAAAAGTGTTGTTACTTTGTGCACCTCTAATGCTTAATTGTTTAATTGAACCAAAGAGCTTCTCCTACCTGCATTTTTCTCTTTTTGTGTCTGACAGTCTCCCTCTCTTAGTGTAGTGACATGTGCAAGGGTAAATGTGGGGTGAATATTTCCACCCAAAAGTCAATATATCCATTTTTTGATCTTGTATATATGGCTTGTGCATTATAGTGGGGTAAATGTGGGGTGAATATTTCCACCCAAAAGTCAATATATCCATTTTTTGATCTTGTATATATGGCTTGTGCATTATAGTGGGGTGAATAAATTCAAATTTGGTTTTTTTTTGATCTATTCACCCCACAGGTTGCAAGTGGTTTAAAGCTTCTGTTTATATCTACCATGCTTGAATGCAATGATTTCTTCACGTGAAGGACTGCACATATTATGTTCTCCATCTCTCCAATACATCACTCACTGTTCTGTTTGGTTTCTTCCACAATCATGTCAATTTCCTTTTGAAGTTTTAAACGCCACTAACCTGAATGGTGTTACATGGTGACGAACTGCATAACTTTTATAAAGGTCTACTACCACCAGAGGGTAAAATTGGAATGTTACTCACATATGATTTGTTCCTGTAATCTTTGCAATAAGCAACAGGGACATATAAATCAGGGCGTAGGTAGTAGGTTCCAGTGGGACTATGTAAGAAGCGGTAATGCTAACTTTTAGGTGTACATTCGTACCTGTGTTTTAAATAAGTAATACTACGTATGTATTATGTACTAAACAAGAGATACGGTATAGTATTGTAGTGCCCTAAATGTTTTAGAGCTTTAATGGTAGTTGGTTGATTGAATTGGATGAAACTATTGCAGGAGAAGGATGAAGACTGGGAGGGAGAAGATTCTGATGAACAGAATAATAGTGAAGATGCAGATGATCTGGATATCTTAGATGAAGCTGATATCTATTTTAAAAAAGCAAGGGGGAAACAACAAATAAGGGGTGGCCGTACTGCAAAATCTACCAGGGAGTTCAAATATGTTCCACCTTCTGCACGACGTAAAAGAGGTAGAACATCGTTCGAAGATGAAGGATCTTCTGAACCAGATTCTGAGGGTGATAGTGATGAATGTTTTGGGCGCATCTCTAGAAGAGGTGGAAATGTGCACAAGAAGAATGGTGGTCGATCCTTGACTGCTAGTGTTTCCCGTAGGACCAATGAACAGCGAACATCAGGGCGACGATCGGTCCGAAAAGTATCTTATGCTGAGAGCGAAGAAAGTGAAGAACTTGATGAAATTAAAAAGAAGGGCCAAAAGGTGCGATCTTTTTATACATTTCTTTTATTGTATCTTGTTCTTTAGGGTATTGATAGCTCATAAACAATTGTCAGGTGGTCGTTTGTGTCTAATGCATCATTCTTGATATGCTTTAGTTAATATTGTATTTCAAACTTCTCATTTATAGATTCTTAAAGCATGTAATGGATAAGGAGTGTAGTACCTATTGCTAAATGCAAGTGCCTGAGCTAACTAGTACCACTACTATGACAACTGCCAATGAGCAGTGTTACTGTTATTTTCATGAGCAGTGCTTATTCTCATAAAACTGAGCCCGTTTCCCCATTTGATAAGGTATCCAATTTGGAGTTGGGTGTCTGGAGTAATGAAAAGAGGTGCCATTGGGGCCCATCCTTTTTCTGCCATTTTATATTTTTGGATTAACTTCATTTAAGGATTACAATAGGAGGAGATTGAAGAGGAAGATACTGATTCAATTGAAAAGGTATTGTGGCATCAACCGAAGGGCATGGCGGAAGAAGCTAGGAGGAGTAATAAATCAACTCAACCTATGTTGTTAAGCCACTTGTTTGATTGTGAACCTGATTGGAACGAAATGGAGTTTTTGATAAAATGGAAAGGCCAGTCACACTTGCATTGTCAGTGGAAGCCATTTTCTGAGCTACAGAATGTAAGCCTTTTATTTTTTGTAATTTCTTTGAGCTGTAGGTTTCTCTAAGATGTTCTTTTGGTGCGCCATATGAAATTATTTTTATTCTTATCAATTTTCATTTTTTGCAGCTTAGTGGGTTCAAAAAGGTTCTGAATTACATAAAAAGAGTGACTGAGGATGTGAGGCATCGAAAAACAGTATCACGTGAGGAGGTAAGAATTTACTAATTTTGGCATTTTGTTAATGGTTGTTACTTCAGAGAGGGCATTGCAGTTTTCATTTAAATGTTTCTGAGTTTCTGTTCCTTTTGGCATCTTCATTTGTTTATTCTGTAAGAATAGTTTTACAAGGATCTAAGAAGAATTAAGGTTAAGGTTCAGATTGGGATATATCTAGCAATAAGAGATTTGTTTAAGGTTCAGATGAGAATCCCTAAGAAGTGTCGTTACTGTTTACAATTTGTAACAGTGATATTTGCTAATGGAAAATGATTAAGTAGCACAAGTGATGGGTGATGATTTTTTTCCTTTCTTCTATAAGAATTCTTCATGCTTGTTTTTAGTCCCTTAAGTGTAGTAAGGTGTCATGTTATGCTCACCATGAAAGCTTTCTACTCAACAAATCTATCTCTATCACTGTGCTACCACAACGGTTAAAGACACGATTTTCCTTTTTCCCTTACAGTGCATCTTTGAGATTCTACAATGATTTTTTCCTAGAATATTAAATATGTATAAACAGCTTAACGTACTTTATTTTATTGCAATGTAATGATAAATGTTCAGTCACGAGACAAAATAACTGCTTTAGTAGTGTTAGACACATATGCTTGGGCTCCAATTCTACACACCAAAGAGAAAGTACTTCACGCCAATTTGTTGTGGAATGTGGACCAAATACTTCAATTAAGATCTTTCATCTTTGTAATAGAGTCTTCTGGCCTTTGATTTGTGTTACGACTTTGTAATTTTGGGCTTCTACGATTCTTCATTCTTCCTGAATCATGTGGCATTTTCTCTGTCATACGGCAACTACTTTATAGCAACTACTACTGTTTCTTTCTTTCTTATGGAATTTCTTTATAAAAGTTGGTGTTTTTATGGGATTTCTTCATAGCAACTTCCTATGGCATTGATCATGAGGTTTAGTTATGTACTAATATGTGAATCATTATTGTATTTGGTCATGCAGATTACCTAAATAATTGATTAGGCAGCGAGGTTAATTATAATTTTTATGTAATTTGTGTCAACTTCATGTCCTAAATGTAAATGGGACGAATGGAATAATGTTTACAAATTGATTTTTTTAGTGATAGGCTGTTCAAAAATCTGGAAGCATTTTCTGGGTGCAATCTCAGACGGTTAGTTGATGATTTTGGAAGAAAAATGGGGTGTAAACTCAAATTTCTCTTTTTTCAATTGTTTCATGTTCACATTTAGTGCTACTTAGCAAGGACAACATCATAATAAGCTTCATACTACTTTTGACGGCCAGTTACATATTAAACCCCTTTAAGTCATTCTGAGCTATTGAAAAGTGCTTATATTTGATGCACATAAAATGCTGTTTATCCACATGGATTTTGACAGTCATACTGGTCAATTTGTGTATAATTACTTTGGTTTTTATCAAGGATTTGTCCTCTAATTTTCTCTCTGATATTCTATTTTTAATATTAGATTGAGGTTAATGACGTGAGCAAGGAAATGGACTTGGACATTATCAAGCAAAATAGTCAGGTTTTTCTGATTTGTATTTTCTGCAAATTGTTTCACTTTCATAGATTATTCTGTGCCAACACTCACTGTTATATAGACATTTCATATAATCATGATCGACTCATATGCAGGTTGAGAGGGTCATTGCAGATCGAATTGGCAAAGACAATTTAGATAATGTGGTGCCAGAGTATTTAATCAAGTGGCAAGGGCTTTCTTATGCGGAAGCAACTTGGTATACACTTCATTTTTAATACTGTGTTTCACTTTTATCTATTAAATATAGTAGAAAAATATTGCTTGTTCTTGTGTGTTTTGTAAACTTGCATAAAAATTATTTCTGTATATTGCACAGAAAATCATTATGCGCACAGATCACTGTTTATGAATGAATACTTGAAATTGATTTTGGATGTGGGTGACCTTTTAAACTCTAATCTCAGGGAGAAGGACACTGATATTGCATTCGCTCAGGAGGCAATTGATGAATACAAGGTAGTTCCTCTTCTCTTGCCATTTCATGGCGTTTCTTGCAATCTTTTAATTGATGCCGTCCCCATGGAACTATGGAAGTTCTATCTTCTTATCCTTTTTTCATGAGAACCCTTGTTCTTATTTATATATGTTACACTAATCGTATGGATGTGTTAGTGTTTGTTGTATGCGTTTGTGGCACCACTTATGTCTATGCGCGCGCACACATTTGTGTGTTTGCTGTGTGTCTGCATATATATATATATATTTATGTTATATAGAAACACATATATTATTATATTTGCACGTGTTTATGTGTGTATCTATGTATGTGTGTGTTTGTGTCTATATATATGCCCTAAATGAACTATCCTTAAAGTTATTTGAATCCCCAAAAGGATTGTGTCTTACTTTTAATGTTCCTGCATTAAGGCCTTGGGGATTGAATCGCTTGATATTCATCACAAATCCGAAGCGCTAAAAAGTCATTCTTGAACATCATTAGTGTTTTAGCAAGCTGGAATGCATACATTTTTGGGTAATTATAATCTCATCTCCAAGGATAAGGGAGATTGTTACGGACCTAGCCCATACCAGGCCCATACCAGTGCCATAAGCCCAGGTGTAGAACTCACTCTCAAAAGACCAGCCGATTAGGAGGGGACACCTAGCTTATAAGCCACCGACCAAGCCCATACGTGATTGGTGTGGGATGGTTACAGAGATCTACAGCATGTCAGACCCTACATAAACTTTGTCAATTAGAATTGATCTAAAATAGAAAGTTGTTTTAAAAAACAAATACAAAAGTTTTCCATATGTTTGTTTGAATACATATGGAGGCTTGAAAGTTTAGTGTAGGAAGCAAGGTTTAAAAACGCTAGTTCGCATATGCCTTCACTTTTGAGGCGTGAGCCTCTTCACCTGCGAAAAAACCCTAAGCCCTGAAACCCAATTCGTACACCTCACCTTCAGGCATGCCTAAACGTGCCTGTAAGCGCCTTTTTAAACCATGGTAGGAAGTTGTTAAGAGTGTTATTGGGATATATCAGGCTTGTTGCTCATCGGAGAAGATTTCGTCACTTGATAGAAACACAAGACTAATCTATTGGAATTAAAGAATTCTATTGTATTTAGTGTAATAGATACCTCATTATATAATGATTAAACACATTCCAAATTAGATAGAACTACTAAATCTTAGGCTAATACAATAATCTGGGCTCAGCACTAATACAAAAAGAAAAAAGCGAAATAGATAATTATCTGATAATCTCAGACAAATAAATAATTGATTTAATCTATTGGAATTAAAAAATTCTTTTGTATTTATTGTAATAGATACCTCATTATATAATGATTAAACACATTCCAAATTATATAGAACAACTAAATCTTAGGCTAATACAATAATCTGGGCTCAGCACTAATACAAAAAGAAAAAAGCGAAATAGATAATTATCTGATAATCTCAAACGAATAATTAATTGATTTAATGTTATGCGTATCCCCGACCATGTCATCAGGTTTTACTTTTAACATGTCTTCTTTTGTTCTTGAGCCATAACAGACTTAAAACATGTTTGGTTTTGTAGTGTGAATGATATGCATCAAATGTTTTATACTCCCAATCATGTTTTCTGATAATTTTTAATATCAAATTAAATGTTACAAAGAAGTTCAATAGAAAATACTTCTTGAGTTAAGACTTGTGACCTTTAAACATGCATATGATTTTGGGTTGAAGGGGTTATTGTTGTGCATGACTTTTATAGTTGGTCTTTTCAATGAAAAAAAATTCAACCAATTGCTTGTGCTGTTTTATCCATATGTAATTTGGAGTGCGATTATTATTTTGCATTCTTATTTCTTGAGTAAAGCTTTTCCTGAGATGATTCACAGAGCTCATTCCCATGAGACCATTCACTTCACGGCTTAGAGCTAAGACTGACACATTGGACTAAAACCATAATTTTCAAAATGGACTTGACATGCTCTGTGTTGTTATTTCTAAACTCAAGACGAGCTTGGTTTTTGATCAATAAACTGTATGCAGGCTCGTGAGGCTGCAATGATGATTCAAGGGAAAACTGTAGATTTCCAGCGGAGAAAGAGCAAAGGTTCTTTGGGATGATACAAACCTCGTTATATAAACTTATTTACATGCATGTGCATACTTCCACCTACTAAACCCATCTTTTCCTTCTTGGTTCTCTTGAAATTAGTATTTTGATACTATGATATAGGACACACATACTTCAGTGGCATGAATAATGAATTACATTTCCTCATTCAATATTACTTTCTAGGTAGTTTGAGAAAACTTGATGAACAGCCTGAGTGGTTGAAGGGGGGAAAGCTTAGAGATTATCAGCTTGAAGGTTTGAATTTTCTTGTTAACAGGTGTGAACAGAGAGTTCTGATTAGTGGCTTTAATGCATGGAATATCTTCTCTGTACTACTTTTTCTTCTGATCATTTTGTGGTGTATTTTACAGCTGGAGAAATGATACTAATGTCATATTAGCTGATGAAATGGGTCTTGGTAAAACTGTTCAGTCGGTTTCAATGCTTGGTTTTCTGCAGGTACTGATCCATGTATTTTTTTGCTAAAGTCTACTCTGCATTTGTACTTTGTCCTACTTATTGCAATCATTATCTTTTCTGCAGAACGCTCAGCAAATTTATGGGCCATTTCTTGTTGTTGTACCATTATCAACTTTATCCAATTGGGCAAAAGAATTCAAAAAATGGTTACCTAATATGAATGTTATTGTATATGTTGGAACTCGGGCAAGCCGTGAGGTAAATATTGGTGTGTGTAATGAACCTTTTGTAGTATATTTATGTCTTGGTTGTTTTATTTTATGGGCTTAGGTTTTTCTATTTTGTGGCTTATGACTTTTTTACCTCCTTTGCCTCTATTTTTGCCAACTTCCTTTTTTGGTTGTCCCAAAAGATTGGCCATCCTCAAGGAAAAAAGTCTGGTTTATTTTATTTCTCCCTCTACAAATACCTTAACCACACAATATTCACTTCCTTGTTTCTCATGTAAGTCAAACATGATAAAGTACAAATCATTGAGAGACAGAGGAAGTATATGTTCGTTTTAACATCCTTTCTTCCAATATGGATTGATTGTGTTTGTCATTCACGCTCTTGTATATACTGACACGAGATCAAGTACTAACTCCTGCATACGACCCAAGTAAAATTTACGGTAATTAATAAAGTACTTACTTAGACTATGACTTTCAACTTATGACATGATTTTCTGAAGAGTGAGGACTATCACACTGCCTATTAGATAAATAATGGGCCTATACTCAACACCATTATACTACTAAAACTATGATTACTGTATTTCCAGCATATGCTACTATCTACTTTTTGCACTTCGATCATGTCGTCTCCTTTTTTGCTATTTCAGATAACATCTATTTTCACGATACAACTCTTATTTATTGGTGCATACATATACAACTTTTTAGATATTTTAAATTAAATACTACATATTATTTTTTTAACAATTTTAAATTGCATTTTTTTTACTTCCCCTTAATACAGGTCTGCCAGCAGTTTGAGTTCTACAATGAGAAGAAGGCTGGCAGGAACATAAGATTTGATGCTCTTTTAACTACGTATGAAGTTCTGTTGAAGGACAAAGCAGTTTTGTCAAAAATAAGGTGGAACTATTTTATGGTTGATGAAGCCCATAGGTTAAAAAACAGTGAGGCTTCTCTGTATACGACACTACTGGTATGATGGTTTTGACTTTCTAATGCAGTGTTTTGAAGGTGGATTTGAGGCACAGTTTGAAATGATATAAGGGATAATCTCCCCGTACAGTACAATTTGTATCAACTATCAAATTTTGTTGCTCAAGCTCCATGTACATGATTAGAAGATTAGGTTGGCATGGAGGATACTGTGAGGATGCCTTTTTCACCTCTGATTTTTTTCTGAAACGATCATGTTGCAAAGATGAATTTGGTTTACCGATGAACAGTCTCTCACTTTTGACAGTTATACGATTCCAGAAGATGATCCAGAATTGGGTCAATCATTCCCAGATTCTAGCTGCAATGCACTCTTTCTAATTTAACACATGTTTGAGAGTTAGTGGCAGACTCATTGAGGAACAGAGGAAGTGGATTAGCTGAGATTTTTTTTATATAAAAGGGGAAATTGTTGAGGGAAATGATATCTGAAAACATAAATTTAGTCAATAACTCGTATAACTAGCACATTTTCTTACTAACCATTAAAATACTTTGCATGAATTGTGTCTAACTTCTATCCTGAAATAGTGACAGATTTTAAAATCACAGGGTGTACGCTAACTGGTGACAAATAAGCAGTTTGCTCAATCTTTAGGTGGCTAAAGCAGATTGATAACTGGTGTAGAACATGCGGATAACAACATGACCAATTTTCAGTTATAAGATTCTAGCTTGATAATAACAAAGCTAAAATGGGAAGATGCGGGTTTTGGATTCTGTGCACCATTTTAGCATGCTCTCACTCCCTTAGAATTTAGGTTGGATTTAACATGCTCAAAAGAAGTCTATATTCATGAACTCATGGGCCATTAGTGCTCAAAATGATCTGTGATGGGTATGTTACTTGAACTTTGGGGACAAATTGGTACCCATATGCCTGATGCCTTGGGATTTGTGCTTAGCCTTTGAAAAGTATCACTCACTTGTTTACTGTTTTCACCTTTACGACACTGCATTTAACATTTATGTGTTATGCTATTTACTTCAAGACACTAATTGGTTCTTGCTGTGACTGAAGGAGTTTAGCACAAAAAATAAGCTGCTGATTACTGGTACTCCTTTGCAAAATAGCGTGGAGGAACTATGGTACTGTTTTTTTCGTCTCTTTTTGAATTGTTAGTTTTGGTTTGTGAGTTGTAATTGAAATTCCATTTGGGATTTGAACTCCATTTTTAGATGATCTATATCTTTGTATAAAGATCTTCACTAGCATCCATTGTTACTATTTTGCTTGTCAAAGGTTTCATATTTTGAGCATTTAGTTTGAAGTGAAACATAGACTACATTGTATTCCCGTCATAAGTATATTTGGCTTTTATTCACTACATCACATTCATATTAGACACATGTCAAATCCAATCCATATCAAAGTGAAAATCCAAATGATTATCAGTTCATATAGATGCACCCAAAATCAAACAGATTATTTTTGCATAAGATCAACTAATGCTAGGACTTAGGAATATGTTGTGTTTACAGACAGAATTTGAAGAGGGAGACAAGGTAGAGTCTAAGGAGAAGTCTGCTGACTTGATGTCCCCCTTTCAATTCATTTTCTGGCTAATTAAATAATTATTGAAAATAACTACATCCTAAAACTAGGTAACACATTTACCACTAATCTCTATAATTCAAGTCCAATAAAAAAACTAGTATTCCCTCAGTTCCAAAATGCATGAGTGGATATTTGTAACACATTAAATAGTCAAACACATTTCACGTTTTTGTTATATAAAACCTATAGTTTAGTGTTAAATATATACAGAGTATGTTTTACTTGCTACTGACAAATAAAGTTAATTATTACAGATTTGAGTATAAAATAAATGTAGACGATCCTCTCTACATGCACACAGCCCTATTGGGATGGACGTAGTACATTCTTACCCATTTAATGTTGAGCGTGTTCCTGTGGCAGAGTATAGCATGCATATCATCAAAAAATGGCCGAATATATGCTAATTCTTATATCTTCGACAGGGCGTTGCTTCACTTTCTTGATCGGGATAAGTTCAAGAGCAAGGATGACTTTATTCAAAATTACAAGAATCTTAGTTCCTTCAATGAAAATGAGGTATATATGAATTGCAATGTTCTCTTTCCATTTTCATATGATTGATTCAGAATTAGCAGAATCTTTGTTTGCTTTATAAATACATGAATTTCAATACTATTTTTTCTCGTTTTATTGGTTTTCTTTGTCAAGCGTTTTCTTACATTTTCACTTTTTCTCCTACGAGTGGCTTAGATGAAGTTCTTGTTATATTTTGTCTGATATTTTGCTTGGATGTTCTTTTATTTTTCTAGCTTGCTAATCTTCACAAGGAATTGAGGCCTCACATTCTTCGAAGAGTCATCAAGGATGTTGAGAAGTCTTTGCCTCCAAAGATTGAAAGAATTCTTAGGGTTGAGATGTCACCGCTGCAGAAACAGTAATGATTCTAATTCCAATGATTTATTTAGTTTTTAAGTGTCGGCTCTTGCTAATAAGCGTGATTTTAAATTTTAAATTATCTGAAAGGATTCTTTTAGAAATGTGTTTCTTGCTCATATTGATATTATGTTTTCATTGTAAGACAGGTACTATAAGTGGATCTTAGAGCGCAACTTCCATGATTTGAATAAAGGAGTGCGTGGCAATCAGGTTAATGAAACAATTTATATGAGCTCAAATCTTTTAAGTTTCGTGTTGCCTCAAGTGCTTCAGTAGATGTTAATTTCCATATGATGAAGCTCTTACATGATCTTTAATTTGTTAAATTGTTAGATCACTTGTAAAATACGACTAAAAACAGTAGAGAATCCAAAAGAATTGATCAAGAAGATGATCAAGAAGCTCTATTGAAGTGATTCGTTGTTTATAGAAGGAATACAATGGACCATTCGAGATGCCCAATCTCCTAGCCTAGCTAAATCCAACTGAATACTTGCCTATCTTCTCCATTCTGCATTCCTCACTCTTTATAGTACTTCTATATCTTTAAGGGCTGGCCCAATATTCCTGATTTACTAAATGGCCCAGAATCTTCACTTATACACTATTACACTCTTTAATACTACTCTATTATTCTTATTAGTATTATTGTCCGCATTCCTATCAATACTCCCTCCTGAAAATCCACCTTGTCCTCAAGGTGGGTGATGGGAAAGAGCCTTGATCTTCAACTTCATATTCATCCTTGCACCCCTTCCTTCCCAATACTTCCCTAATTGTGGTACCATGAGCTTCAGAACTTGCTGGAACTTCATCATCACTTCTTTCACCGCAAACAGGAGCAGATGCTGGAGATAAAAATTCCCTGGAATGAGGTTGTCAAAGATAGTACTTCTTTCACCCATTTCTGCATTGTTCCTATCACCTCCCCTGCATAATGACCTACGACCTGAGTCACCTGATGGAAAAGGCTCTCTGATATCTTCCTTCGAATAGTTGCATGTCCACCTTTGTGAGATTGGTGAGATAGATCCTTCACTAATTAAACCTGATTTATGAAAGTTCAGTTCATGCCCTCCTGTCAAAGGGCCAAACCACAAGTTGCTAGGTGAAACAAGGGTACTTGGACTTTTTCCCTCCCGATGTACAATAGCAAAAGAAACAGATGAACCACACTTCTCTTTGCATGAAACAGTCCCAATTAAACTCTCTTGCACCTGATTAATTTCAGTCCTTAAAATTGACTTTTTAATTGCAATATTAACATGAAGAGGGAAAAATATATAGTCTGAAAAATTCTCAGGGCTTGCTGCAATTGCATATAAACTGTTCTCACTAGGTGGAACCTCAAGACTACACCTTCCACTATCATCTATCTTCTTTTGTTGGTGTGTCCAGTTTTCTAGTCCACGAGTAAGAATTACTCCTTCCATCAAAGCATCTTTTGGAGATGAGTTAGAATCTGAATCCACATTATCCATACCGTCCAGATATTCTTGTGGATATCCCATAGGTTGCTTAATACCATAATTCGTATCCAGTTCCCAACCTGAAGATGCAGCTAGCTTCAACTCAATGTTCTTTGCCAACGATGGAGTCCCTCCAATCCCATTCTTGATTCAACTAAATTTATGGCTTTAGGTCCTAAATTTAGCACCTGTGAACGATTGAAGAATCCAGCAACTGTACCAGCTTTAGGTCCTCCAGCCACTGTAGATTGCTCCTCGTTTTTGTCTTTTGTCAGTTTCTTGATTACATATTCAGCGGACTTCAACTGGGCATTCTTTGTCGACTGGGGATAGTCTTGTGCAGGTTGAGAAACGGCTGGCGATAGCACTTGCGAACATGAATATTCCTCTCTCGATTGCGTTACATTCTGATGTAAATAGATCGCATATGAAAGTGCCTGCAGATTGAGAGAACTGTTTCGCATCTGCGAATTGAAGACTTCCGCTTGCAACGCAGTATACGAACTGAGAGAAGTGGTTCGCATATGTAAGTAGGAGAAACGACAAACGATGCTGACTGCGAGGACACCTGCGGACGACTGAGAGAAATGGCTTGCGATGACAATCGCTGATGAAAAACAGTTCTTGACGAAACCAGAGAAGTGAAAGGGTTTTCTCATGAGTGGGAACTGGAAGACGTTGTTGGCGAAGACTTCTGTGAACTGAGAGAAGTTCTTGTCGACGATTCCTGGTTCTCTGTCTTCCGACTGCGTGTAGGTTGGAAACGCCGCGTTATGGCTTCCTTCAGAGCCTCACAACTCTTCTCTCTCGTTTGAGTTTCCCACCATGGAAACCAGGCTAATGCCCTCTCCTCCATCGCACCTACTGCAACTTCCACTTTATATTTTTCTGCAGTAGCCTTGAGACGGAAATACCCTTCCATCCTAACAATCCAACTATCCACATCATCCCCTCTAAACAACGGTAAATCTACCTTTCTTCCCGTCAGAACAGGTCTTCTACTGCTATCGTGACCCATACTAGAGCGAGAGTGATCGGAATTACCTTCCGACACAGCTGGACTCTCCGATTCTCTTGTTTTTCGATGTTGAGAAGTGTGCGATTTCCCCCTGGTTTGAAGCTGTTCATTTATCGCCGCCATGGATGCAACGATGTTCTCCATCGCGGATTTCATCTCCATGTTCGAACACTTCTCCAGGTTCGAACGCTTCTCCAGATGTCCGTGCGAACCAAAGGCGTCCAGTGCTGACCATCTCTGTTCTCTGCTCTGCTCAGCGACCATCTTCGTTCGTTCGTGTCTCAGCATCGCGAATAACTAATTTTCCTCTTCCTCGATAGACTGTGACGACCAATTAAGACTCCAGGAGCGAGTGGTCTGATACCAATGTTAGATCACTGGTAAAATACGACTAAGAACAGTAGAGAATCCAAAAGAATTGATCAAGAAGATGATCAAGAAGCTTTATTGAAGTGATTCGTTGTTTATAGAAGGAATCCAATGGACCATTCGAGATGCCCAATCTCCTAGCCTAGCCAAATCCAACTGAATACTTGCCTATCTTCTCCATTCCCCATTCCTTACTCTTTATAGTACTTCTATTTCCTTAAGGGCTGGCCCAATATTCCTGATTTACTAAATGGCCCAGAATCTTCACTTATACACTATTACACTCTTTAATATTATTCTATTTTTCATATTAGTATTTTTGTCCGCATTCCTATCATTAAAATCCATTTAGGATGCACCAAAGAGTATGCCCGTTTAATTTTTAATTGGAAGAGGAACAGTTTCCACCTGTAGTAGGTCTTCCAAAGGAGAACATATCTGACTTTATTGAAATCAGTAAATTAGAGTATAAAAACAGAATGTCACTTTTCACTTTATAGAAACACGTAAAGTGAAAAATTAATCTTTCCCCCATTTATGGAGAACAAAAATGACTGTTCTCCAAATATAGACAATTGGAGATGAGAGGTCGGTATACAGATGACCTTCACTTTGAATCCTTGCAGAAATGCTTTTTTAATTTCAGCTTTGTCTCCTCTGCAAAGCATGGACATTCATCCAAATTTTGATGAAGATCTGAACTTTGTTCACATTTGGACAAAGCTCAGAGCTTGGTACATTTTTGGACGAACTGCTTTGTGTTCCATGGTCTTGAGCTTTGTTGTTGTCCAGAAAGATGAATGTTTTAAGCTTGTCGTATTGAGTGTTTATCAAGAATTGAAATATGAGTATGAAAAAGTTATATGCGCTAAGCATGTTTTGAGGGGGTTCCTTTTTACATTTTACAATAACAATGACAAAGCCTTTGTCAGTTTGGTCAATTTCATGAACCAGTATAAATCTCTTGAGGTCATCCACTATAACCCCATTTTTCTCTCTTTTGTGTCATCCACCAAATGCTCCTTAAGCCTCAATATGCATTCACGAAGGAGCCATGCAAGAAAAAGATCTGCATACGTTTCTTACTTGTAGGAACAACTTATTTCCTATTTATATTGATTTTCTGTTTAGTACTTTATACGCTTTTGAGGTACATGAGTCTTCAATCTTCATGGTAGGAAACTCTTGGAGTCTGAATTATGTTTTTCTGAGCACTATACTTTTTGTGTTTTCATATGTATTCTGTAGCATGTCTCTGTCTGGTAGAAAATACCATTACCAAGTTGAGAAACCTAGATCTTTTGTTAAATAAATAAATAAAACCCTTCGTATAATGTCTGAACTTTTAAACTTGGTAGGTTTCACTTTTGAACATTGTGGTCGAATTGAAGAAGTGCTGCAACCATCCCTTTCTATTTGAAAGTGCAGACCATGGTTATGGCGGGGATGCCAACTTTTTTGGTAGCACTAAACTGGAAAGAGTAATCCTAAGCAGTGGGAAGCTAGTTATACTTGACAAATTACTGGACAGATTACATGAAACAAATCACCGTGTACTCATATTTTCTCAGGTATGTAATATCAGAACCGGCTAATTCTTGAATAATATCCAGAGATTTCTTCTGCATTTTCCACTCAATTTTTTCCATCAAGTGCACTGGTTTGATTTTTCATTAAAAACTATTCCAATGCTGCATAGTCTAAAGTCTATACTAGATAGCGACGCGAAAGGATATAAGCATTTAATATCTTAGTATAAATGTTCATTGTTACTAGGTATGTTCAAAATTGCATCCATAAGTCTTAAGTAATCATGCTTTTAAAGTTGCATTTTCACTAGTGTGCCATATACGCATTGCTGTGCTTTCACCAAACCTTAAATTGTAAAGCATTTGCTTTGCTTAGCTTTTTCTATGAGTCTATGACTATTATTGTGTTTTGGGGCCCATCCTTCCATCTTAATGGACTTGTTGAACTGATTCAGATGGTTAGGATGCTGGATATTTTGGCAGAGTACCTGTCTCTCAAAGGTTTCCAATTTCAGAGACTTGATGGTAGTACAAAGGCAGAGTTACGTCATCAGGCTATGGACCATTTTAATGCTCCTGGAAGTGAAGATTTTTGTTTTCTTCTTTCAACTCGTGCTGGTGGCTTGGGTATAAATCTTGCAACAGCAGATACAGTTATTATCTTTGATTCTGACTGGAATCCTCAAAATGATTTACAGGTGGAGTTTTACTCTTGTTTTTTTATATTTTCACCCGGGTATTGAAGTTATGGAGATGGTAGTGGTCTTTTCATTTATTGGTATAGAATAGGTTATAATAATTAAATATGATCTTTAGTAATTTAATTATATGTAATAACTTTTCTGTTATCATTTATGCTTTTTTAAGGCAATGAGCAGAGCTCACAGGATAGGGCAGCAAGAAGTTGTCAACATCTACCGATTTGTTACGAGCAAAAGTGTGGAGGAAGATATTTTGGAGCGTGCCAAAAAGAAGATGGTATGATATCTATATCCTATTGTCAAATGCTTTATCATGCACATGCACTGTAATTGGAGCAAGAAACAACGATACACATTTCTATATGTAATGTCGCAAAACTATCAATATTTACAGTAAGTAGATGTTTGCGTTCACTGCTTGTTTTGGTCATTGATGATATGTTATATTGCATGTCTCATGAACTTTTCAATTTTTTTTATTTGTTAGGTTCTTGATCATCTGGTGATTCAAAAATTGAATGCTGAAGGTAGATTGGAGAAAAAGGAATCCAAGAAAGGAACTGTCTTTGATAAAGTGAGGATTGAAACAGCTGTTTAGCTTGCTTCGTTATGTCATCTTTTTATAGCTAATACCAATGTGTTCAATTAAAATTGCACTGAACCTCCTCACCCTTGCCCCCACACTCGTCCCGCTCAAAGCCATAGGGTTTACCAGAGCTTAAATGCAATCAAGAAATTTGGTTGTTTCTCCTTTAAACTCTATTGTCTTTAACCGACTCATTGGCTTTTATGATTCAGAATGAGCTCTCCGCAATTTTAAGGTTTGGGGCTGAAGAACTCTTTAAGGAGGACAGAAATGATGAGGAGAACAAGAAGAGGCTTCTGAGTATGGATATCGATGAAATTCTGGAACGGGCAGAGAAGGTTGAAGAAAAGGTAGCAGATGAGGAGCAGCAAGGAAATGAGTTGCTCGGTGCTTTTAAGGCAAGAATCTTCATTTTATCATGAGACAGTTGAAGTTAGAGTTGGGGGGTCACCTTCTCTTGATTTTGCTTCCTTGTTTTTCTTCTTTTTTTACCCTGCTAGTTTGTGTTTGGTATAGTTTTGAGCCATACACGGATTTTTTTTGCATTTCTATGAAGGTTGCCAATTTCTGCGGCGCTGAAGATGATTCTACATTTTGGAGTCGGTGGATTAAGCCTGACGCCATTGCTGAAGCTGAGGCATGTAAAGTCAGACTAACTGATAGGAAACTCTCAATATGTGCAGAACTGATGGATAGTTTTGTTGTTGTACTCTCAGGATGCATTGGTTCCTCGAGCTGCTCGAAATATCAAGAGTTATGCCGAAACTAATCCTATGGTGGAAACAAATAAGAGGAAGAAAAGGGGTGCTGAGGCACAGGAGAGACTACCGAAGCGTCGTAAGGCAGATTCTTTTCACTCGGCTCCGGCAATTGAGGGCGCTTCTGCTCAAGTTAGAGGGTGGTCTTATGGGAACTTGTCAAAGAGGGATGCCACACGTTTTTCTCGTGCGGTATGTCTAATCATGCTATTAGACTTTAACTCAATTGATGTTTTGGCTGAACATGAAAGGTGTTTGTTTTGTCCTTCGTGTTGTGTTTGAGTGATTTTTTCTGAGTTGTGCTTTACTTACATCAGGTCAAGAAATTTGGTAATGATAGTCAAATTAGCTTGATAGGGGCCGAAGTTGGTGGGGCTGTTGAAGCAGCTCCAAGTGATGCTCAGATAGAGCTTTTTGATGCTCTCATTGATGGCAGTAGGGAGGCAGTAAAAGGAGAAATTATGGATCCAAAGGTCTGGTTTTATCTACTCGTATTACTGTACTAATACTGTTATTATTATAATATTGTAATTATCATTATGGATTAGAATTGCTATTATTATTACGAGCACTACTATTATTGTTGGGGGTTGGGTTGCTAGTACCTTGGGTAACATTTTCTGCACACCGTACACCTTTAGGGGCCTATGTTAGACTTTTTTGGCATCCCTGTCAAAGCTGATGAACTTCTAAGCCGTGTTGAAGAGCTTCAACTTCTTGCAAAGCGCATTAGTCGGTATGGAGATCCCATCTCACAATTTCGAGCACTAGCTTATCTTAAACCTGCTACTTGGTCTAAGGGGTGTGGCTGGAACCAGAGTAAGTAGTGCCTTTGTTGAGTTGTTATTTATTTACTTCAGTTTATATTTTACTTATAAATGGCTTTTAAACCACTTCCTGTTTCCTCACAGAGGATGATGCGAGGTTGCTTTTGGGAATTCATTATCATGGGTTTGGAAACTGGGAGAAGATACGGTTGGATGAGAAGCTTGGCCTTATGAAAAAGATTGCTCCTGCTGAACTTCAACATCATGAGACATTCTTGCCCAGAGCTCCTCAGCTCAAGGAACGAGCTTCTCAACTTCTGGAGATGGTAAGTTTTGCATTTTGATTAAAGAAAATTTATTGGCTTCATTGCCTGCAGTTATAGAGAAAGCCCAACTGAGTTGCGACTACTTTCCAAGTCCTGTCATGAAAACTTATCATTATTGTGTTGATGCTGCCTGTTTAGTATCAATTTCATTTTAAAGTCATAGTTATTCCCCAACCCTTTAAAAAGTATTTCCATGTATCATAATCTATCTAAAACTCCCTCCGTCCCTTAAAACTTGGCCAAGTTTGACCACCAGGGGGATTAATAAAGTAAAAATTGTGTGGTTGAGGTTTCTGGTGAGGATACAAATTCTATATTACTTAAAAGGGAAAGTTGCAAACTATGCAAAGTTAGTGGGACAACCAAAAAAGAAAAGTTGGCAAAGTTTTAAGGGATGGAGGGAGTAATTTTTTGTAGTAAAGTTTTGTGTCTGCATGGATCTTTTGGATCTTTTATGTCATAAGACCACTAAGATACAAATATGTCATCGATATATTTTGGATTTCTGGCTGGAGTGTTTCCATGTAGTGGGGGTGCGTATACTTTCACTAAACCATAATTGATGTTTTGTAAATTATTTTAATATCTAGGAAGTTGCTGCAGTTGGTGGGAAGAATCCTACTGTCAAAGCGGGACGCAAGGGTAACAAGAAGCAAAAGGACTGTGGTCCCAATACCACTACTGTTCCTCCTCTTCACTCAAAGGCCAAATACGGGAAACCAGGCACCAAGGTTTCAGCTCAGAAGCCCCAGAAGGCTGAACCTTTAGTTAAAGAGGAAGGTGAAATGTCCGATGATGAAGAAGTGTACAAACAGTTTAAGGAGGGAAAATGGATGGAATGGTGTGAGGATGTGATGGTTCATGAGGAGAAGACACTTAAGCGTCTTCAGAGACTGCAGACCACCAGTGCAGATCTTCCGAAGGAGAAGGTAAAAAGTTATTTTGTATCACCACTTTCCATCATGTTTTCATTATACTCTTGCCCTCCCCAGACAAGTCCCACTTTAATTTTGAAGGTGAAGTTCGTTAACTTGGGCTGTTGCTTACTTGCTTTTTATTAAAGTACCCTCCTTCCATCCTTTTATTAACTTTTATTATTTCCTTCTCTGGCTATCTCACAATGAACATCACATAGTGTGTGGTTCACATTTTTCTTTCCTCTAAAAATTCAACCACACATTTGCACTTTCTAATTAAGCACTTCCTATAACGCATTATATTGAGACACAGGGGTATTAATTTATAACATGTGATGAAAGTCCTCTTAACAAGTTGTTTTAATATATAGGTGAAATTGACACCAATAATCCATACTTTTACACATTTTACAAAAATAATCCCTACTTGAAAAGTTCACAACAATAATCCCAACTAGGTAACTGTTTTACAAAAATAAACGGAGTGCTAACGGTCTTAAGTTTTTCGTTTTTTAAATATATTGAAGTGAATATATATATATACATTGACATAATAGAAATACATTGAAGTGACTTAATATAAACGGAGTGCTAACGGTCTTAAAGTTCACAACAATAATCCCTACTTTAAATACATTGACAATATTATATTTGAGTTTAATCTTGTTTCTACTAAAAATTTAATATAATATTCAATATTTTCATAAAACATAATAGAAATATTTGAACACTTATGATACATACTCTTCAAATTCTTCTTCCTCTTTTATTCCTTAACAATATTTTATTTATATTCATTTTTATTCATCATAATAGATATTTCAAAGTAGTTTTAGTAATATTACATTAAATATTAATACAAATTATGTAGAGTATTGAATATTTAATATGGATATATCTATGATATTTTATGAAAAATATTAAACATAAAATTAAATTTATCGTAGTAAAAGATTAAACTCAAATATAATATTATTATTTTTAATACATATTTTTTATTTGATATATTCAAAATTTAAAACTCGGATTGTTTTGTGAAATTTATTGGTAGGGATTATTTTTGTAAAATGTGTAAAAGTATGGATTATTGGTGTCAATTTCGCCTAATATATATTGTTCAAATTGCTGTATTATAGCCATTTGTATTTGTAAATGATAATGTTCAAATACAAAAATGACATAAAAACAAGAGTTGAGAGACAACTTTGGAGGCAGGAGGTTTTATTTATAGTTGAAATTCTTATATGAACTGCTCTTAATAATGTGTTATATATAACCATTTCATCAGGTTCTATCAAAGATTCGGAATTATTTAGAGCTTCTCGGGCGAAGAATTGATCAAATAGTTTATGAATATGCACAGGACACATATAAACAAGAAAGTAAGGCCTTCTACTCTTCCATGCCTTTGGATAAATATGTTCTTCCCCCAGTGTGGCTGTGTTTCTATGATGTGATAATTTCTAAATAGGGATGACAACGCGATTATGGAATTACGTGTCAACATTTTCAAATTTATCCGGTGAGAAACTTCAGCAGATATATACCAAGCTCAAACAGGAGCAACAAGTAGCAGGAGTTGGACCTTCACAAATGAACGGCTCTGCATCATCTGGGTTCCTGAATAAGGGGTTTGACACGGAGAAATTTGAGGCTTGGAAGAGGAGGAAAAGGGCAGAAAGTAATGGTGTTCGCATACCTGAACCAAACTCATCTTCTGGGATTTTAGGTGCCCCCCCTTCTGATAATAATAACAAGCTGTTCAACAATAATGGTAGTAGGCCACCTTTCAAAATTAATCAGTCCAGCTTCCCACAAAGACAAGGTTTCTCATCTAGCATCAAATAAGCGTTTTTATTAGCAATCATGAATGATCCCCCTCCATCATCAAAGGGGGAAAACAGTCTTGTTTGGACTTGAATGCTCGCCAGAGTTATGTTGGCTGTTGGAACACAATTTTTTGCATATTACTTGGCCAAGATTTCCTCCCTTATGAAGCTGTGCCATGAAAAAGTGGCGGGGTTGTTTCATCATCAAAGATGCAAGTGGGAAACTGGGAATATGAAAAAGCCCTATGATGTCTTGGTGAGATAGTGAATGAAATTTCATCGACATAAAAGCTGCTGTTTGTTCATCATAGATATATATGGAAATCACTAATTTTTCGTATATAGTTGTTAGGCAATGGGAAAGATCCTGTATGTGTTATGCCTGCACGAACTGTATATCATGCAATTTTGTTTATTAATGTTGAGACATTCTTTCCCATTCATCATCATCTCTAATTAATGGTTTTAGTTTTTGTCATATACTTTGCTTTTCGAGATACAGATCGGTTCTGTCTAGTGATATTATTTGACTAAATATCTATGCCTTCATTTTATTTTGTATTACGCAAAGCCTTGAAAGTCTTATAATGATAAGAACATGAAGTATAGTGAATACTGCCACAGAACGGAGCCTAAATAATTATTCAACGTCATTTTCACAAGCACCAGTCACTCTACCATTTGGAGTTTTATAAGCACTAAGCAGAATACACGGTTGAAAATATGAGGACTGATATCCTGATTACTAGAATGTTTATTATTTTGTTTGTTGCAGGAGGTAAGACTAGCGACAGGTAGAAGGTATTTAGTTTGGTACTTTGGTATTAAGTTTTGCTACTCTTTTGCTATGTATTATTATGGGTGAATTTGACAGTGTGTCCAAGAGATTGGTAGCATGACAGCATCCAGTTTGAAATTATACAGATCTTGGAATTCAGCTACGCAAATTTTTCAATCCTAAACCAGGTATGTATAAGGCTGCCTTTTAGTGAGTTCTGTCAGCTGTTACTTTTAGTATATTTTCTGAAATAATTGCATCATTGAACACATCTAGACCAAAATATGTTCTGGAAAACAGCGTTGAAAAAGCAGTAAATGGCATTGTATAGGTGCAAAAGCATCTTGCATAATGGCTATACCTAGGATGAGAAAAGGCGGTCAACTTATTGACTAAATGCGTGAGCAGGCATAAGTTTAGATGCAAAAGGCTCTGCTTAAGCATGAACCAGACCAACTTCTTTTAGGTAGTCCAATTTCAAGGTGTTGAACAGGCGCAAAATCAACTCGCGAAAGTTGTTCACTAAATGTGTGAAAAGACTAATGCTCTTAAAATTGTGCAAGTTCTTAGGTAGACCGATTTTAAAAGGGGTTTTACGCATGTGTGACTAAAAATGAGGGCTTTCCCAACCAATTACCATTTTAGTCTTTAGTTAAAACTAAAAAAAAAGAAAAAAAGAAAAAAATAGTTAAAACATAAAAGTATCACACCAAATTAGGATGTAGGGAATGAAGGGATCAATGTTTGGTGTGAGGTTAAAAAAATCAAGTATTTCCCCTTAATCCTCAAGTGATTTATAAAAATTGATATCTATTGCTGCAAATCTGCATCTTAGTAAGGTTATGAAAATCATGCTCTGCAATTGATTGATAAAATTTAATTGATGTGTAGCTAAATTTGCTAGTGCAGGTAAAAGTATCAGCATCTATTGAACACTAAGAATTTCCAATTTAATATTTTGAATAAAGTTTAACACATAACTTGATGAGGGACTACATATGATTTGCTTATTTTTCAACTACGTTATAAAGAAGTCTGGCATCTTCAGTTCTTCACCCGTGCATCGCAAAGTATGTAATTCTAAAAAAACATCTCGTTGCGGGGCGTTGCGGGATGTAGTATTGTAGTTTAGCCGGTGGGAAAAGGGTGTACACTGTACAAGAGAGAGGTCTTGTGTTCAATGCCAGATAAAGACTTGGGCTGGAACTACACTCAGTCTCCATTATTCTGTGATCAAATTTAATTTGCTTCTTAGATAACTATTAGTCCGATTTTGGGGCCTCCCAACGATAGGTCGTCACCCTTTTTATGGGTTGTAATTCTCAAATCATTCATAATTTCATGTGTACAACAATAGTAATTTTGATCTTCCGTTTTGCAATCAATAATTTAGTGATAATTTATTTTCATTCATATCCAACATTCCAAATACTTTTATACTAAATTGTTATTGAATATAATTGTGAGACTTTTTGAATAACAAATGTACTCACGAAATGACATTGAATAGTAACATATTATTCAAATTGAATAGTATGAATAAATGTTTAAACTAATGCTCCCTCGGTCCTTTAGGGTGTGATTGGGAGTTTGATTTTGGAGGGGAGGGGAAGGGATGTTAGGGTCAATGACCCCCCATTTTGTGTTTGGGAGTTTATTAAAATGGAAGGAAAGTGTTTGGAGGTATTTTATAATCCTCCTAAACCCCCGTTTTTTAGTTCCTCCAAATCGGGAGGTTTTGAAGGTCAACTATACGGCTGACTAGCTATACAAACCCACTAAAGCTGCCTCAATTATTTAACCGCTGAAGTTTGCATGCCATTTCTTTTATAACTTTCCCTGAAATCTTTCTTTAAAAAAAAATCTGACGTTTTTTTACTTATTAGCTTACTAGTCATTTTTTCATTAAATACGTAATTTTTTATTTTGTGCGCTAAATTATATAATAATAAACCGATTTTGTTATTTTCATAAGTTTTTTATTTCGAATTTGGTATTACCAAACTTGCTCTTTATGATATTTATATATGTAAATATTAAAACAATTTTTCAAGAAACAAAATCAAAGCAACTAGTAATCTAAACAATAAAAAAGTTTAGGATTCAATGTATTATAACGTTTATACAATGAGAAAGGAATACATGTGTCATTTTAATTATATGTCCTCCAAAACCCTTCTCTTTTGAAATTTGTAACTCCCAAACAAGAGGAGAGAATCCCTTCCATCTCCCTCCCCTTCCCTTCTTTCCACTCTCCTTCAATGCCTTCCCTCACCCTCAAACTCCCAAACACACCCTTAGAGTTTAGAACTTGCCAAGTTTGATCGGCATGAGGATTAATAAAGTAAAAGTTGTGTGGTTAAGATTTGTGCTGAAGAGAGATAATTATCTGGAATCACAAATGTTTTACTTAAGAAGGAAAGTGACAAAGTTAGTGGGATATCCAAAAAAGAAAAGTTGACAAGGTTTAGGAGAAAAAGGGAGAAAATGAAAGTGTTATTGCTTATGCCTTATACAACTATATGTTTTCACTTAACTTGCTTTATCTTTTGTTTACGTTCTACAAATAAGTGATGTTTTTACTTGGATTGAAATTTGTTGGTCTGGTTTGATTTGTTTAAATTTGTCTGGTTTGAATTGGTCTGGTTTAATCTGGTAAATGTTTTGTCTCTGTTTTTTGTAACTACGAAAATTAGGTCTGATCTGGTTTGTTTAAGTTTTATTTGATTTGGGATTGAAAATAGTTCTAATAAAAACATCCTAAATTGTCGACAATGGTGAATGGGCCTCTAAATACTGTCCCAAAGTGATATATGGTCAATTGCCACACGCATGTATGATCAAGTTAAGTGAAAGCAGGGGTGGACTCAATCTCAGTTTTGGTCCCAGATCGGCTAGTCCCGGTCCATCAAATGTGAAACTCGTAAGAAGGGTCTTGGTCCAATCCCAGATTCGGTCCCTGCTAATTCGGGCTTTGATTGTTTTTTTTAAATAACAATTGTTACACCCTTTAAAAAAAGAAACAAGTGCTACACATTGAAAAAAAATCAAATGTGGACATATTTCAAACACTACATTGTTTTAAAGTATTACACATTTATAAATTACAATTGAAAATAGTTTAAACTTTAAATATATGAACTAACTGTCGGAATTGTTTTCAAAGTCGGTTGTCGTTTCTATAGTCGGAATAGTTTAAACTTTCAATACATGAAGTGGTAGTCCGGTGTTATGTTAACTTTTTGTGTTTTATGATGGTCTTTCAACCAATCGTGGAAGCAAATTAGTGTTTCAAAGGATTGCGCGTTCAACCTCATTTTAGAATTAATTAGGACATTGTCGGCTTCGCTAAACTCTTGTTCCACGGCTGCTGTTGAAAGTGGCAATGACTGCACTCGTTTCGCCATCTTACTATATACTCCCTCCGTCCCGAAATTATCTTCATTCTTTCCTTTTCGGTCCGTCCCAAATTTATCTCCTCTTTCCTTTTTTGATAAAGAATATGTGGTTCACAATCATTCTTACACATTTCTCTCTCCTCTGCACAACTCTCCATCACACAAATCCCACTATCTTAATCCCCGTGCCCAGTCAAAACCGAAGTTAATTACGGGACGGAGGGAGTACAAACTAGAGTGGAAAACCAGTGAATATTCTCGCCTAAAGATACATGTCAAAACCAATATATGAATCAGATCTTTTGAAAATTTAATGTTTACGGGGTCACATAGAAGTAGGTTTGATAGTTTGATGGTGTTGATAAAGATCTTTTGAAAATCCAACTGTTGAAATGTTATTCGCTTGCTATAGTGTAAAAGATGTCAGAGTCACGGGTATGAGATTTTTGAGCTGGCTTCCCATTTCCCCAAATGTCAAATCTCTTCGCCTAGAACAACATAATCCACTTATTGCCTTTGAAACGGTTTCCAGACCACAATGGTGCAGTTCTGAACCACGGCGGTGCTATCACCAAAGATGACATCAATCGTGCCGGAGATTTCGCAATTCCGGTAAAACTTGTGGTAGGTATGGGCATAGAGCGAGTCTTGGTAGCCGTCCATCTTGCAGTTGTAGAAGATGGATTTGTTTGCGCCCACCCTCAGAGCTACGAGCTGGTGCTTTTCCGGCTCAACAGAGTTCTCAAATCCGATGTCCCTAGCCATAAAACAACCTGCAAGGTGGCAAGTCGATTTGACGACTTCCATCTACGCCCTTGTGTAAGCCAGGAGTGAGAATTCTCTGAACCTCAAACAGAGCTGGTCACCCATCGGAGAACAACAAGAAACATACCACAACATAACTGAATCTAGAGCTCTGTTATATTTTGCCACTGTCATGAGGAAGGGTCGGAATTCACTGTTCGGTTTTCATACTGATAGCCAACTACTCCATATATTTATGTCTTTGGCAACTTAAGTGGATATCGTTGATTTCATCTGGAATCGGATGGCAATCCAAGCCACTGGACCTCATGATGGCTACCATGAACCGCTTCTGGATTTGAGGTAATGATTTAGCGACAAGCTTGAAAACTGAGACATAGTCGCCTAGAACCCCAAACCCCCGACTTCTGAGACAGACGGGAGTGCGACATTCAAACCCGGAAGAGGTAGCATGAGACGACTGAAGATTCTGATTTCTGAGCTTAATTTCTTCAAATTTTGTTTCTGCAATTGGGTGTTCTACCACTATCCCAGCTACCTTATTGATTTAAGTGTTTCTATTGACACATTATATGCACTATTTTGTTAATAACTTAGGAATGAATGTTATAATGTTATTACGTAGTATTATTCGTCAATCATTTATGTTGCGTACTAATATTTTATAAATGTCACTGTATTAGTCATTTAGTATTTTAATGGGTTTTCTATTATTTATTACCGACTACGAGTATTATTATATACTCCGATATGTCAAACATGTGGGTATTGTCATGACGGGTAACTAGATATTTGACTTCACATGTATAAAGGGAGAATAATTTGAGAAGAGATTTTGTTACTAAATCGTTTGTTGACTCTGTAAATTGATATTCTTTTATCAGAAATGTAATTGACATTTCAGTAACTATGTGAATTGGTACGTGAAAAAAAAAAGTATTACGGAGTAAAACATACACATTTTGGTGCATTTTGCACATGTTACCCCTAAAACTTTATTGTTTTGATGTCTACTGTATATGATGGGTACTTTGGATATGCTTTGTTTCTAATATGGTGTATTTTTTTATTCATTTGAACATATGAAGTACTCTCTATATTGTTTATGCATGTGTGTGGTGACTAAACAAAGATGGTAGTTGAGTTGTAGCCTATCCATACTTCCCAAGTAGCCCAAAGGTGTTGGATGTTGATATATTCAAAGAATTTAAGAGTTCAAGTGTACTTAGTTCAGCCATAATGTGACAAAGTTTAGGTTTGAGTTTCTAACGCCCACTTTTGTTTTGGGCCTACCATTGGACAATATGCGTAGCTTATTATAAATAAACAATAACAAACAGATCTTTGAATTTCTTGAGTCATGAATAGCTTATTAGATAGTACAGAGTATTTGTTAATATGTTGTCAAATTTTGGAATAAATTAAATAAAATAAATGAAACAAATTCAATTGAAGATGTTTTGGAATGGTTCCAAAAAACATGTAACTCAAATTGATATTTTATTTAAGTTGGCAATAATTTAAGTTTGTGAATCCCAAAAAAAGCTACATTTGCATTTCGTAAATACATGTAATTACGGTTATTTATAAGAAATAATTCTATATGGAGTTTATAACTAAAATAAATACAGAATATTATTTATAAAAATGTGGCCACTTAAATGTCGTGATTGTAGAAATAGCTTAGTTATAGTAGCTTATATTCAATTTTTACACACAAATGACTATTATACTATATTGTATTAACTATTAGTCGTCTTTTTGTAAATAAGTTTGATTTCGATGCTATTTTTGAAAAAATAATGTATAAATTAAGATAACAACTACAAGTATTTAGGATAACACGGTTTAATTGTAATATCTACTAAACTTTTAGTATCAACATTATGATTTGACTCTTCCAATTTATGAGTTCTTAATATTTATTACATTTTCTTTTAATTCTTTTTACAAATTGCATTTATTTTAAAACCATCATCTATTAATATTGTATGCAAATAATAATACATAAAGTTGAGGTTTATTCCTTCAACCCGTAGGCCCAACACACGACCCAAGAGTTTCAAATGGAAGAAGTATCGAAGTAGATGCAAAAACAACAAGAAAGGCCCAGTAAGAAGTCTTAATGCACTGAAAGGGTTACAAAGCCGAGATGCCATTCGTCTCTCGCTATGCTACGAGCTGTTACAATGCTATAATATTAGAGTGCTAAGTTACTCACCTGTTACAATGAAATAAATGCTACTATTTATACCGCGAATGAGTAGTTAGATGTGTTGACGTGGCGAGCAGTGGATGGCTTGATCCCAACCACCAAATCTTCTGCATTAAATGCGCTCCCCGCCAGGATCTTGGCTTCCCGCCAAGGGTGGGGATGTTTGTCCCCATGAGCTTGCCTCCTGTTTCCTGCTGGGATCTTGGCTTCCCGCCAAGGGGTGGAGACGTTTGTCCCCATGAGCTTGCCTCCTGTTTCCTGCTGGGGTCGTGGCTTCCAACTAAGGGGTGGGGATGTTCGCCCCCATGATCTTGCCTCCTGTTTCTTGCTGGGCCCAGAGTCCTGCGAGACGTGCGTCAGCCGCTGCCCCTAGGTCAAAGCATCCGCCGATGCTAGAATACGGACATCTCCTGGGCTTTGGTGTTGAGGCCTGGCCCTGTTGGAGACGAACCTCGCCAGGATAAGCGGAAAGGTAGCTCGTCGTTTCATGCCTTCTGGGGACGTTCGTAGGGTGGGCCTTGAGGGTTTTATGGGCCAACCCATGTTGGGCCATTAACCCAACACAAGTCCCCCACTTCTGATGTTCTGAGCGTGCGCGGGACATAAGGAAGTAGAATTGAATCCGACGTACGTCGCCACCTAATACCCTTGGCGCCTCTCAAGTCGATGAGCCACTCTGTGTCTCCTGATGTACGTCCCATAACGGTTGTCCTTGGGGACGAACCTGCTTCCGCCGTACTACCTTTAGCCAACGCGCTTGTCGCGATGGTTGCCGGCTGTATTCTGGATCTCCGGCTGTCTTGCCTTATTCACTGGATTTCCGTACCCGGTCGTCTATGTGAACGGGCCTTGGCGGCCCGTTGGGGACGTACGTCTTCCTGTCTAGAGGGATGGTATTCTCTGTTGTTTGTCTCTGGGGACGTTCGTAGGGTGATTAACCCAACACATGTCCCCCAGCTTCTTGAGGAGTGAGCAGGCAAATCTGTTCGAGAAAGTATACTCTTGCCCGCGCTCATCCTCTGTCGTCGTTGGCATATATGCGAGGGCTTGGGCCGTTCGGTCCCCGAATGCCTGGCTCAACTTCCTTCGGACGTTCGATTCCTAGAACCTCGGCCTTGATATGTCCAGCTTCTTCATGCACGACCCAGGTGCGCCCCGACCTCGTCATGCTAAGCGTCAATCCTCGACCTGAGTTCTTAGAGATGTTCAACCCCCGAAATTTTCCTTCTGGATGCTCGGCTCGACATGCTTAGGAAGCTCGGTCCCTAAAGACCCGAATCGGCTTCCTTTGGACGCTCGGCCCCTAGAACATTGGCCTAGGATTGTCCAGCCTCGTCATGCACGACCCGAGGGTGCCCTGACTTCGTCATACTCAGCGACAATCCTCGTCCCGAGTTTCTAGAGATGTTCGACCTCCGAAATTTTCCTTCTGGATGCTTGGCTCGACATGCTTAGGAAGATCGGTCCCTAAAGACCCGACTCGGCTTCCTTTGGATGTTAGACCCCTAGAACCTCGGCCTAGGATTGTCCAGCCTCGTCATGCACGACCCAGGGGCGCTCCGACCTCGTCATACTCAGCGACAATTCTCGGCCCGAGTTCCTAGAGCTGTTCGACCTCCGGAATTTTCCTTCTGGATGCTCGGCTCGACATGCTAATCAGGAAGATCAATCCCTAAAGACCTGAATCGGCTTGCTTTGGACGTTACGACTTTGATATGCTCAGCCTTGGTAGGCTCAGTTCTGGATATGCTACGCGTCACACGGCCCTCGGCCGTGATGCTCATCTCATGGCCCTTGGCCTCTTCGTGGATGATGCTCGTCTCCAGGCCCTTGGCCTTTGAAGTGGAGATGCTCGTCTCACGGCCCTCAGTGTTGGCTTCTCACCGGTCTTTGGAGATGAACGGGTTTCCTTCCCTTCGTTCAACTATCTTCTCATCGTGCCGCACGGCTTAAGCCCTGGGGCCGTGCTGCACAAAGCCAATGATCTTGGTGGAGGATTATCCTCTTGGCGACGAGCGGGTTTCCCGTCCTTGGGTTTCCCTTGCTTCGTTCAACTATCTTCTCATCGTGCCACACAGCTTAAGCCCTGGGGTCGTACCACGCTAAGCCGATGATCTTTGGTGGAGAATAAAAGTCATCTGGGTGGAAGATGCTCGTCTACAGGCCCTTGGCCTCTGAAGTGGAGATGGTCGTCTCCAGGCCCTTTGGCCGTGATGGTCTTCTCTAGACCCTCGGCCTTTGGATGGAAGATGCTCGTCTCCGGGCCCTTGGCCTCTGAAGTGGAGATGCTCGTCTCTAGGCCCTTGGCCGTGATAGTCTTCTCGAGACCCTCGTACTTTGGGTGGAAGATGCTTGCCTCCGGACCCTTGGCCTCTGAAGTGGAGATCATGCTCGTCTTCAGGCCCTTGGCCATGATGGTCTTATCGAGGCCCTTGTCCTCTGGGTGGAAAATGCTCATCTTCGGGCCCTTGGCCTCTGAAGTGGAGATGCTCGTCTCGAGGCCCTTGATCGTGATGGTCTTCTCTAGATCCTCGGCCTTTGGGTGGAAGATGCTTGTCTCTGGATCCTTAGCCTCCGAAGTGGAGATGCTCGTCTCCAGGCCCTTGGCCGTGATGGTCTTCTCTAGACCCTTGGCCTTTGGGTGGAAGATACTTGTCTGCGGGCCCTTGGCCTCTGAAGTGGAGATGCTCGTTTCCAGGTCCTTGGCCGTGATGGTCTTCTCTAGACCCTCGACATTTGGGTGGAAGATGCTTGTCTCCGTGCCCTTGGCCTCTGAAGTGGGGATGCTCGTCTCTGCTACGACAGTCCTCCCCAAGATTCATTTTGAGCATCCTCTATTATCCTTCGTCTTGATCATGAACTTTATCTGCACAGTGAGCCTGACCGTACACTAGACACGATGGCACTGAGGGGCCGATCGTACTGCGAATGATAATCATCTCACGCTGGGTTCTTGGTTTACCGCCACTTGTGGAGGCGGGCGTTTCCTGCGTCCGTACTCGGCATTCATCTCGTGGTGGGTACAAACGTCCCCGGGCAAATGGTTCCAGATGCGCTGGCTGGCCGCCCCAGGTGCCCCGAGCATTGGAGCTGTGCGTCCTTTCCTTCCCCGTGAGCCCCAACTGTGGGGATGATTGGACTTTTGGCGGGCAATTTCCGTTTTTTGAACGTCACTTTCCTCCCTCCGTTGATCCTAAAGCTGTTGGGTTCAATGCATCTTTCATCGAAGCTCATGAATGGGCTCTGAAGTACCTTGAGGAGAAGCAGGAGGAGGGCAAGCAGAAGCGGGCCGAGGAGGCTAAAGGCAACCGATGATTCTTCCGGGCAGCGGTCAAGTTGATTCTTCCCTTGTATTCTCCTTGGTGTATCTCTTTTGTTCTGATTTGCCTTCTGTACTCCTAACGAGGCGAATGGTATTCTAATTTCGTTCAACCACCTTCTCGTCGGTCCTCCGCAGCTCTGGCATTTGAGCTTGTGTTGCGTGAGGCCGACGGTCTTGATGAAGAACAGGTCTATCCCTCTCGGGACTCCCTGGTGCCCCTCCCTTTTTTGAGGGGTCTTCGTTTTTTCTCAACCACCGTCTCACCGGTCCTCCGTTCTGCCCCTTGCAAGGTCTGATGCTTCGCGAGACAGATGATCTT